TGCAAGATTTCCTCTATCAACAGTAGCTGGGGTGCCTGGTACTCTATCTTTGGCACCTCTTTGATGATTTCATGCACCTGGCAGAGCAAGCTTGCCAGGCCAGTTTCTCCCGGCCTCCGGAAAACTGTGTTCATGTCGCTCGGAGCCTCGAGCTTCGGCACAGCTCTAACGACCTCCTGCGTGCAAACAGTCGGCACCTGACAACGACATGTCTGAGTGGAGAGATCAGGAGAACCAAATTGAAGCGCTTTGACGAGTGCGATATCCTACTAGCATGGAACATCGAGCATCAACCCAGAACAACCGAAAACACATACACATAAGATCATGGGATGCAGCATTATTGGCAGGGTTGTGTGACGACCATGTGTCATCACGTAACTGGAGGTCGTTGTTCACCAGCAGGCCTTGCTGCGTGTATATGCAGTGCATGAGCGTATATGTGTTAGTCTTTGTTTGCGTTCCAGCGTGCATGCTTTCATGTGTACTTTAAGGAGAGAGGGTGGCAAGCATAGACATGGACCCAGTTGTGTATGCACAAGTGGTTGCTTTGCTTGCACTGTTTCTTGTGAAAAGTGCAGGTCTTGTGCATGCATGCCCGTCCGCATGTCAGTCCGTCCTCCGTCCGTCCCTCCGTCCGTCCGTCCGGCTGCATTCATGTATGTATGCGTGTGTGTGCGTATGTGTATGTATGCATGCCAGCATGTGTGTATGCATATATGTATATATGCATGCATGTTTGCATGGACATGCATTTGTATGCATGCACGTTCATGAATATATATGTATATGTGGTGTAGGGCTTGTTATTACTAGCACTTCCACACAGGGTACACTCACCAATTTTGTAAGGAATATAGATATGCCAAATCCGTGATTCATAAAAACGAGGCCTCAAGCAGGTTGTTTTGTATGTGTACACATCAAGGCACCGACGCATTACATACAAAGAGGCGCAATGCGGTTGTACCGTAACACGTGCATATGTATATATATATATATATATACATTGTATGTGTATAACATGTACATACACATATGTATATATGCACACGAACACCCACCTACAACCGTAAACAGAAAGCACGAGTGTCTTGCTTTGCCGTTTTCTCATAGATATGTACACCGCACAGGCCTCAACGAGACGTTCCTTCACGATGGTTTGCGGCACTTCGATGAGGATGTCGGCCCCGGCCTGCGTCTGCAGGGCTGCATGTGTGCTCGTGTGTGCGCGGCCGACATATGTCTGCGGTTCCTAGTTTATGTGATTCATTGAAACCACGTATTGTCCAATAGGTCTCTTGTCAAGCTGCCAGGACGGAAGTCGCTACTTCGTCTTGACTGCAGAGACAGTAAACCGACAGAAACTAGCATTCCCAAGCATCTCTGATTCTGGGCAGCTCTTCTGAGGCTTTCCGCCTGCAGGTTGTCCCCTGCTCGAGACCTCATGGAAACAGCACAGCACTTGCAAAAGGATGCGCTTTGCCACAGCGCTCAAAGCCAAGCAGCCCCATTGTCGACACCGGGGTCTGGAGCTGAGTCGCTTGACCTGGTATAAAGACTCTCTGCTACTCCCGGGTCAATTGGGGGTTTCCGACAATAGGGGAGCCTAATATAGTACCCCAAATAGTAGGATCCCTATTATAAGGACCCAAAATAAGGTACCCCCAATTTTCGGAAACTCCCAATTAGCCAACTTGAAACAGCCGCCTGGGGATGAATACAAGCCCGACATCGTGGACGTGGCCAAGGCATCCTCAATGTGTCGAGATGCAGAATCCGTCCGTGGGTGTAGATTTCACATTGGCCGAGCTCCATGACTCCATGACGTCTCCGCTTGGATTATTGATTGGGGCTCGGGAAGTGCATCCTAGACCGAAGTCGGGTTGTACGTAGGTCCTCACCTTCCATGGCACAGTTTTTTCTGCCCTCCTTGGAGCTTTGTGGGCCAGCCTCTCCCGAGCGGACCCCACATGGAGTCCTCCTGCCCTTCGGAATACCAACCAGTGACCAGGGAGATTGCTTGCATCTGCCCGAAAACAAGTGGCGTGGCCTTGATGCTGATGATGCTCGTTCTGGTGAGGCATGAAACCTCGAATCGAATCATGATGCCATGATGACATTGGTGTTCGCCTTGCTCCACCTCCCTATGCACGGGCGACCGGCAAGGAAGTGTTTTTTCGGTTTGACTTGATGCAGTGCGGCAACAGCATAATTCCCGATTGATCTTGCGTGGGAAGCGGCCATAAAGCCACCACTTCATATTTTGGGGCGCCATACGGCAATAAAAGCGAACATCGTCAGCATCATAGCCATCCGCTTTCGGATTTAAGGTGGCCCCGAAAGCATGAATCATCAGCATCATATCCCTTCGGTTTTCGGAATGGGCAGCGAGCATCAGCAGCATCATCGTCGCTTGTTTCCAGGTGGCCGGTGAATCGGAAAGAGTGCGCCGACGAATTTTGTGCGAACCTGCTGCCACCCAGAAAGAAAAAGCTATGATTCTGATGATGTTCGCTGTTCGCTTCGAAAAACCGAGGGCAGATGACGCTGATTATATTAGCTTTCGGGCCCACCTTCTATCCAAAAGCGGGCGACAATGCTGCTGATGATGCTTCGCCTTTTCGGTCGTTTGCAACCTCAAACCATGCGTCGGCGATGACACTGTGCTCGAGCAGCAAGGAAGCGAGTTTTGGTTTCTTACAGTGTTGCGTATGCATCCTGACATCAACTCCTGTCTTGATACTAACATGGCATTCTGAATATCTATGAGATGATTGAGGAGCGGTTCAGAAGGCCGAGCTGACCTTGCACAAGTAGAATGTTGCTGCGGTATGAAATGCAGATGAATCCCACAGGCCTGCGCAGAGGCGTTCCAGCTTTGTAGAATGTCGTTTGGGCTTTGGTACCTGAGATCTCTCTTGCTCTCTCAGGCCGCGTAAGCTGCACGGCTGCATCACCAAAGTGTTTGCTGGCAATACTCCTTGCAAGCACATATGGGGATTTCCGAAAATAGGGGACCCTAATATAGTACCCCAAATAGTAGGATCCTTATTATAAGGACCCCCAAAAAAGGCACCCCTTATTTTCGGAAACTCCCATATCTGACAGTAAGCTCCGGCACGACCCGTGGTAGCCGTAGCTGCTCCCTGCAACATGGAAGAAGGGACTTGCAGAAGTCGAAGGAGGGACATCTGCAGGTTGCAAACTCAGTGCTGCTGTCCATGGTACAGGCGGCAATCCTTTGATTTTGGCTCCTTGCAAAAGGCCCTGGGAGGCAGGGGCAGGTGATGTCTTTCTGCGTATGCTACTCTGTTACTCTTTGCTGCTATTCGGCAAGCTACTGCCCTGCAGCAATAGGACTCAAAATGGCAGCATCAGGTACATTACCATTGTTGGAACATCTTGTGAGGATAGTGGGTCTGGAGTACCATGTAGTCCGGAAGATATTGCGCCAAGTTCATGGACACGGTGCCCGTACGGGGCCGTGCATTCAGACACATTTCGGACCGGGGTTGGGGGTGGGGGGGGTTAATGAAGTTCTGTTTCTGATGATGACTTGCCTCACGTGTACCGATTCTGCAGTCCCTACTCTCGTCAACGAACTCCACATCGCCTGGGCACGTCGCATGCGTTCCTGTGGGAGCGCGTGCCTTCCCACTCATCGAGCGGAGCTGCAAGTAGGGGCCCCGGCGACAAGGGTCAAAGACGGTTGCCACAGAGTCACAAGAAAATGTCTCCAAAGGAACGGCCCCGTACGGGCGCCGTCACCAATTTCATGTCTTCGATACTAAGACTACCTTACACAAGGTCAGGAAACAACGAGATACTATCGTATCGTGCTCGAAGTTCCCATCTACGGTTATGTAGATAATCTAAACCTGACTGTTTACAGCTTCAGCGAAATACCATGTGTTCGTTCTGCTCGTGCCGCCCTCCAATCCGGGTCTGAGTCTTCCATGAGGCGACACGCCTTTCTGTCTGGCCTTGCATGCCGTGCTTGTTTGTTGCCAGAAACAGTCCTTCGTCATGAGATCTTCCTTTGTATGCTTCTGTGACAGGAATTAAACTGACTTTTGGATTAGTTAGATTGGTGTTCGCAGGCTTCCCGAACTTGTGGATATGGTTCTTTTCCTTTTGCCTTCCGGTCGGAATCCCTGTATGCATCTCGCTGCTCATGCTTCCAACGTCGCCATGCGTTGTTGCTCAGACATCTTCTATTTAGAAACCTTAGATTTGACATGCCGCTAGGAAACTTGGCGCCCAAGGTGTGCCTCGATTCTCCTCCCTTCGGCTTGCCAAGTCGCTACGAAGCAGGGCTAGAGCTGCTAGAGAGATCAGAAGAGAGCGGTTTTGCGAAAGGTGTGGGCCATGAACCGCAACTTCACTGAGCTCTCATGTCACAGGAGCCGAGCCTGCCGGGCTGTGACCAAGAAGTGGCATCATAGGATCTTCCCTGCACCAAAGCGGGGGGGTCCGGTGCAGCACTCTCCGTTGGGGTCCATGCCCAAGGCTACGTCTGCAAACCATTAAACCAGTCTGACAACTTCGCATTTTGCAAGTAATTAGTCTTGTCTCCGTCGCCTTCCAACCATAGGCTCCAGGGCAGCTGTGGAAGGCAGCGATGCCTCAAATTTCTTTTGTTAGCAGAGCGAAGGTATGGCAACTGAAGATAACGAAGCAGCGCAGCTCAGACAAGTGCCACGCAACCTTCTTGGCTGCCCGAGCACAGTTGCTTTGGGCAAAACAGACGAGAGAAAATCAGGGAGCTGCACAGCACCACCACAGCACTGGACTCGCAGGCTGCTTCAGAGGTGTCTTTGACTCCCTTTCCTTTTGTTACAAATATTTGGAGCCATGAAACTTGAACTTGGTCCAAGCATGACTTTACCTGAGCTCGACCAGAAGCAGCTGTTTCTCGGAGGGTTCGTGCCGAAAGCTGGTTCTGGCGGCTCCCATTCTGTGCAGATGTAAGCATGCGGTACAGATGCAGTAACCCTGAATAAGCCCGAACTGCAACACTCTGTCTCATGTTCAACCCTACACTGCGCTACACCCCAAGGGTACAAGCGCCGGCCTGGTCCCCTTCAGCTTGGCTAAAGACTGAGAACAAGGGTCCGCTGCGCAATGCTGCGCATGCAGCTAGTACGGCTCTCGGCTGCGCCCTTGAGGCGCTGAAAGACAGCCTTGCTGCCTGGGACCAAGGGCTCTAGGTCTCTAGGCTTCCACACCTTTTGGAGTTGTGCGAACCTGAATTCGTCGGAGCTCAGCTCGGGAGGAAATCCTTGGAGACACCACGAGGTGTGCCGACTGGAGACAGTGGCAGCCAAGGCTGAGGGCTTGACTCTCGCAGGCGCTCTCAGCCGTCCTTTGCATGAGGTGTACCTGGAAGCACCATGCTGGTCCTTGGCATTGCAGGATATTGCGGGATGCAGACGAGCCGGCAAAAGTGTCAGCACGTCATGCCAAGCCATCTGCCAAGGGTCGACAGATCCGGCGCTGTCTTCCCGAATGTCACGTGCCGAGGCTTCGGAGAGCTCGGCGGCGACGGCCCGGGATCCTCTGGCACGGGCTGCCTCGAAGAATGCGGAATGCATAGGTCTGGGCAAGTGGAAATCATGCCGGGTGAGATCTTGCTGGACCTCTCGGCGGCCATGAGAACGAAGGTGACTTCACTTTGCATCGGTGTGCGTCTCGAGAGTGCAGATAGCTATCAAGAGGACCCTTGAACACCCGGAACCACATTCACAGCTTGAGCCCCTTGCTCCGTTTCATGTAGCATTTCTGCCTACATGACTGGAAAGAAGACCAAGCCTGCGAGGAAAAACTCAGTGCGATCTGCGAAGGAGGAAGTCTGCGGCCTCCTAAAGCCTAAACCGTGGCCAGTTTCTCGGAATGCAGCCCAGGCACCAAGACTTGCACTTTTCCAGCACTCCTCGCGGCATCAAGTACGGTCCCGACATGTCCAGATAAGTCTGATCAGAATGCACTTTGAATGCTTCTCTGGTGGAGCTGAGCTGGAGAAGAAAGTGGCTTGCAGCATGCCCACATCTGAATCTAGAGAGCATGGTAGCATCTGGAAGGTCAGTGTCTGTCTTGGCCGTGCGATATCCGGTTGCGAAACAGAAATATTGATACCCTATGTTACAGGCCTGTGGTGCTAGTTGTTATTCGCACAGGCAGCCGCAGCGCCCACCTTGGTCCTGCCGGCTCGGTCGTAGAGTTCTGCCTCGGGTATGTGTTGCTTCGAAACGCTCAGCTGCACTCTTGGTCCTTCTTTGGGCGCAAACCGCCTGCTTTGCCACAGAGCCGCGTGTCTTCATTGTCTTCAAGCGCTGCAGTGGCTTCTGATTTTGCGTTGCTCGGGAGTGCTTCCGGGCTCGGCGCCTTAGCTGCACGAAGTTGACTCCAGCACGGTGTTCTGATGTTCTGACATGCCAAACACTCGTTTCGGAAATCCATCAATAGGCACTCAGTTTCACCCCTCATTGCCGCAGAGCCAAGAACTGTCGCTGGCGAGCTGCGGATCTTTACTGGGTTCTGTTTTCTGGGAACCTGGATTATGGCTGAAGGTCCGGTCCGGACCAAGCTGTTTGTTCGCTTCTGTGGGATAGTCCGATGGGATAGTTCTATGTTTCGGACTGCATGGATTTGCTTGCACGTTGCTTTGTCGATCGTGGCTTTCTGGTGGACCCTTCACCCAATGTGCCTTCGAGATGTACCCCACAACAAGAGGCTCCTAGTACTCTTAGTGGCTTCTAGCACAACCTGGCTCGGGTATCAGCATTGCTTTTGCAAGGAACCTCTGCCGCTGATGACTAGGCCCAAGACTCTAGCCCAGATAAACGGAAGGGAAGCTTGGCCGAATGCACTGCCAGGGACAGCTGCTAGCATGAAATCAGGGAGATTGGTCAACACATGTCTCGCCCATGGTAGCTGTTAGCCATAAGGGTTTCTCCGATGATAGCCGGCAACATTGTGATGCCCCCCTTTCAGTGCTATGATAATCAGTTTGCGGCTATGGCTAGCATTTGGCCTTACTGTTCGTACAGCAATTACCAGCTTCTGTTCTCTGTAAAGGCACATGGCAGCAAAGAAGTCGCTCAGATCGTTGGAGTACAAAGCGACCTGTCGGCCCCGTGGGTGGCATAGGATTTTGGCTAAGCTACACAACTCGCTGTCTGCAACCTGTGTCGTATGTGACCAATGTTGCAATGAACGATGCTACTGATTCACCAATGCATGAGTTGCATATGAATACCGTCCAACGCATAACTTGGCATGAGCACTTTGAGCATTAGCTTGGCTGTGACGACGATGACGGTGGTGATGACGATGGCCGTGCTGATGACTATTCGCCTTGTGCTTGGCGTAATATAATGTGTATATATATATATATATGATATGATATGATATGATATGATATGATATGATATGATATGATATGTATAGCCCAAGTCTCAAGTGACTGCGATTTGACTATACTTGCGATTGCGTGGGTGTCGGCGATGATGGATACGACGACAAACTTATTCCTCTGATTTCGTATCATTGCTCACATATTCAACAGTCTGTCTGAGCCCCCCGCAGTCACTAGGAGCGTTGCGGAGTTCATGAGAATCTGGTACACGACTTGGTCGTGAAACAAGGTGTAGTCGAACCTTGCAGCCAAATGCGTTTCCGGTTTGCATCTGCCCAGCGACTCGACGGACATTTGCGGCTCATTCAAGACACACGACCCAGCAAGTGCGCTTGAACTGCCAGCTCAACATCCCTGACGAGTCGGTCACCAGGAAGCCACGGAAGACGACCAAAGAAATCAGAGAAAACACTGAAGCTAAATCATGAACCCGAGAATGAAGGCAGTGACAATAGAGGAGGGGGAACCGCCGGATGGATTCGCGCCAGCATCAAGAGGGATCATGCGTGGTTCTGTCAATACTATTAATTGCGAAATAACGACAGGGTCACATGTGTCCACCGACACCTCTGGTAGACAAAAAGGCAGTGTCACACTGACACATGCAAGCCGAGCGACAGAAACAACCAGAAGAAGGTAATGCCAGTCAGAACGCTCATTGCCAGAAGCATGACCTCACACTGCAGTCAACATGTGAACAGTGGTGTCTGGCAAGAAGCTGACCGCAATCGTGAGGACGACACATTACGACCCAATGTTGCACACTGCGACAACCCATCAATCACCTGCGAAACGACAGTTCACGTCCAAGCTTCTGAAAGGCTTCCAGCCAATGGATTCCTGCGGATGCAGGGCTTTTGCATACTATCTTGTGGCAGTGTGCGGAGTTTGTCCGAAAGTTGACCAGGAGCTGCAAGAAGCACGCTTTGTCTGTCCCTTGCAGCCCCACCTGATTCGGACCAGGTAGTCTGCAAGAATGGTCAAGTCAAGCGCCAGCCGGACAAGACTGGGAAAGAAGCCCATAACGACCTGAAAGCATCAGGGGAATTCAGAAAGCAGTGACTTGCAGTCACTTCGATGTACCGGATCCGTACCACTGCGGACAGTGGAAAGCGCCATTCACATTGATTTCGCATTACTCGCGGACGGCTGAGGTGCATCATAAGCCCCAACCAAAACTGCCATCTGAACTGCAAGCCCTGTACCAATAATAAGGCAGGCCACGGCAAAGTAGTGCGCACTCAAACGCGCAAACTGTCTGGGCTGCAATGTCGTCAACATGTGAAGCCCTTAGCTCCACGGCACCGCACTCCCAAAAGTCACACCATTTCACTGTCTCTCGAACAATGCATTTCTCAACCGAGATCCGGTCAGCCAACAAAATGCAAGCGACAAGTTTCTAGCAAGTGGGGGCCACTTTGGCAAGGCCCCCACAATTGCCGACCAGCTGCTGTCGCAGATATAGAAAAGTGCCGGCAATGTTGTGGCCACTGCAACAGCGTAACCTTCAGGCACAACATCGCAAGATGATGGCATGGCAAGTCTGAGGACAGCCCCCAGCATGTCGAGAAGTTGCACTTTATCTCTGCCCTAAAGCCTCAGGCTGATTGATTATGTGGACCGGGGTGCAAGACATGGCTACTCGGCACACAGGGCTGTACCAAACACAGAAAAGTTGGCTAGCAAAGTGCCGTGCAAAGGCTGAATTTCCAGGCCAGTAGCTCACACGCGAGCCACCAACTTTCTTCAGGATGTAGTGGCCTTAAGCAAACCAGAGGCAGAAATATAACAAATCACAAAAGAGAGCTTCGTGTAAACTTGTGTGAGCGAACATGAACGGCCTGGCGACTAGGACTAAACTGGCTGACATGCGACAACCTCCTGCATTCGCATCTCTAGCGTCGTTCCTGGGAGTGTGCAGAGCGCAGGCTCAGCACCCGGCCGAACACCTCCTGCACATATCCTTGGATACAACGGCTGACAGTCACACGGGCTGACAGTTTTCAAGTTGCATCTACTCTGCCATTGTTCAAAGAGAGCCACGTTACAGGCCTCAATGTGCAGCTCGATCCAGCTGCAAGTAAACACGGCAGGGATGCATCATTAGTTTAAACGTGTGATGAGGTCTGGTTTGGCGAAGGACGCCTGACGTCTGACATCATGGCCCGGTGAGTGTGAGTTAAGGGACTTCCCCCATTTATGAAAGCCCCCTTATAATCAAAACACTCTTCGGAAACCCTCGCTGACATTATCCAAGGCCTCTTAAAACCTAATTTGCGCATTAGGGGGGCTTCAGGAGCAAGAGGAAGAGGAATTGCAAGAGCAGGAGCAAGAGCAGGAGCAAGGGCAAGAGTATAGCAAGAGCAGAGCAAGAGCAAAAGCAAGAGCAAAATTAAGAACAAGAGCCAGATCGGCAGTAACAGCCAGAGCAGGAGCAAGAGCAAAAGCAAGAGAAAGAACGGGAGCAAAAGCAGGAGCAGGAGCAAGAGCAAGACAAAGAGCAGGAGTAAGAGCAAGAGCCAGAGCAGCAGCAAGAGCAAGCTCAGGATCAAGAGCACGGAGACACAGGGAACTAAAGCCAGCGCAGGCGCAAGAGCCAGAGCAGGAGCAAGATCCCTCAAAGTGACAATCCAAACACTACGTAATAATGATAGCACGTTCCGAGTTAGTTTTTGTAGGGGTGAGCCCCGTTAAATTACTTTATTGGTTGCAGGGATTACATATTATCAACAGCTCATGTAACCGGTACGAGTACTGTAAAGGTACTTCGGTATCCGTTTCAACGCAACCGCATACAGGAGGATGTCGCGAATTCAGTTCCTGAACCCAAACCCGAAACCCACAATAACAAACGAGCAGCTGTCGAAGAGCTCTTGTGCCGACTCTCCAGAAGTTGCTTTTGTACCCGATTTCGCCAATGCCAAGTATAGCCTCTGGGCAAATGCTGCGCATAACGGCTTGACCATACACTGGGGTTCCCTCTCGGATCTGGAAATCGTGGAAGGAGAGCTTCTCTGTCTTTCGGAAAAATTGGACAGAACTCCTCTCTCCGTGTCTTGATGCGAAACAAGATACCTTCTCTCAATCCCAGCCGATTGACAAAGCGGACTAACTCTACCTGGCAGCAGCTCAAGAGCTAAGCTTGAAATGCCCCATCTCTTAAGAAGAACTTGGATGTGGAGAGCCTGGCGTGTTCAGAACCCCTCTGATAACAAACCACAAGAATCTGCTTCAGTCAGATGCAAGCAGCCTGTGTACGTCCCCCGAGGCAACATGAACACGGTGTTATCTTTTCGTAAAGAGTCATGGACTTCTTCCATTTTCAAATGGAACCAACCATGACGAATGCATGGTGTCCTTTGGTTTCAATCCATGAGAATATAACTGACTGCATGTAGAGACCTGGCTATGTGTATGTGTGCATACTATGCACTCATATGCGCTATATACTGTTGAAGAAGCAAAAGCCCACATCATGCGAATAGACGGGGGTGAGCTTCTTCTTCTGCTTAATCAAGCACGCTAGAGTCCGCGACTACTTCTTCCGGAAATACAGGGTAGAATAGCATGCATGTCTACGTACAGTGTATGATATGCACGCACACACACACACATGGTTTTTTGGTTTTTGAAACGTCGAAAAAGCCATGGTTTCGTTAAGGAGAAACCAAAGGACACAAAAAGACACCTAGAAAAACAACAAACACAAGTACCAGAGCCCCCACAAGAGTTTTGGACTGTTGGATTTTGCTTTTTGTTGGTTTCCGTGACATGTTCTTGCTCTTGATTACACACAAATTATGATTGAAGCGGACATGAGTGTGCGCGACTTGGGTGCTGTTCCCGTGGAGCAAATTTGCCATGGGATTGTAAAGATACTAAGAGAGACAGGACTTGAGATCGCCCATGAAGATTATGCCACATGCGAATGTGCTTACAACGGAAAAAAGACCGACGTAGGTCATGGGCGGTGTATATATGTATACATACACATGTAGCGAAGAAGAAAGTCTTTTCAGGCGGACCTCTTGATTCCCATGACAAGCAATGAAAGAACTCTGCTGGCTCTGCGTGTAGTTCAACTGCTCTTCCGTCTCTTGATAAGAGACAAGACAACTCTTGTAGATGCTAACGACACGGAGTGTCTCTCTACAAGACATCAAGCAGACTACCTACATCTGAACTTGATGATTCCAATGCAGAGTACGAGCACATGGATGCGCAAAAGCAAACGATGCTCCCGGTCCGAGGAACTCCTTGGCCATGCCCTGCCGAATGATGCCCGAGGATTGCGGCCCGAACCACTCTTCCAGCTTGTTGCCTGAAGGAAGAATTGCTGCAGTGGCTATGCTTCAAAGTCTACGGAGGGAAGTCAGCACAGAAAGTACCCGGACACAAAAGCTGAACTGGCAGAAGCAAAACATCTGCAAACCCTCGGCCTCGGTCGCAAACCCACCAAGGGCACAAGAACTCAAAAGCAGACATCTGCTGTTCTGAAGTCTGAAGCGGGCAGGCGGCCAATGATCTGACGGTCACATGGGATGCGCGTAGTTGTGCCAGGTATGACATGGCCGACTTGGCAGCAGTAGCACTCCGCACTCCTGAGGCTGCGGACTGGGGCTGGGGCACTGCAAAGTGGCCCGGACAAACCCAACGACCGGCGGCAGAGGCGTCTGCACCTTCTACCAGCTGCAGCTGGGATTCGTGAAGCTGAAGGATTCAATCTGGACCTTCATGACCCGAAGATCGCACACCTGCATCTCAAACATACACGAAAACTGACGAATATAACGTTCAAATATCTGCCGGCACTGCGCCACGCAGTGCCCTCCAGCAAAGAGACAACAGCACCAACTCAGAGCTCCGGTTAGCCGCTATTGAGTTTGCTTCCCGCAACTATCAATATTGAAGCAGCAACCCCCCTGGCTCAAGACACACTCCAACGCACTTCATCAGCAAGTCTGCGACAAAGTCACCAAGTTGCGAACAGCGTACAGTGGTGCCAGCATGATTGCTGCCGTCACCTCCAAATGCCAAAGTAGACAAGCTTTGTAGCCCAGGCAGGTATCGCCAGGTGCCGTCTACAAAGACACGATGCGAATGAAAAGCCAGGGTGAGTGGCAATGAGATCACAGCGGTTGCCCCGCTGAAAAGGTATGGACAAGAGATAACAGGTTCAGACAGGTCACAGATCCCACGATAGTGGCATAGATCTCCCAGCTTTCTACTTGCGCAAGCCCCGCCAGCATCACCTCTCAAGGAAGAACTGCCCGGCTTTCGGTGCATTCAGTGCATTTGACAACCTCCTGCAATGACCCGAGAAGCAGGGATCGAAGGCAGGATGGATAAGCACGACTGCTGAGTGGTCTGGCTCGTTCTCCTTGCCTCACCTTCCTCAAATGAGGATAAGGCCAGGATAAGGAGTCCCAGGCATCAGGAGACTTGCCACCGAAAGGCCATCACGACAAAAACGCCGCCCAGCACCAGCACCATGAACACTCCTGTGTCGTTCTGTTGGGGCAAGCTACGACGCTGAGCATTCGTGAAGGTTGTACACAGCGCATCAACGGGGTGTGCACAGTACTTTTTTCGAACAGCTGACCAGCTGCCGCCTTGCACAGATCAAGCATCAACCGGAAGCAGTCTGTGCACGACCGGATTCCAAGGGGTCCTTGTGCAACTGGAGCGATAATGAGCTGCCTCAAGGACCTGAGCTCGGCGAAGTCTTAACAGAAACACATCTTCCTTGTAGCTCAGCTCCGGACTTTCGCAGCTTCGTCCACGTGGCAATTTCCTGAGCATGTAGCATGTAGGATGCTGCTGGACGTTGTGGCATGAAGCCTGAACATGCCGGCAAAATCGTCGCGCATACCCCCCCACACACACACACACCTGCTGCCACTCTCGTTGTCCCAAAGCTTGCCAAGCAACTTCGTTAGTGGGTGACTGGTGGCCTGCTGTGTGCAAGCAAGTGGCGTAAACGCACCACAAACGAGTGAAGTACCTGTCGAATTGGTACAGGCTCAGTGTGTGGCTCGATGCTCTGATGGCGACCATCCCCAAGCTGATTTCCGGTCATGCCGGATCCAAGGGCGAGAAACAAATCAAAACATGCTGAAGGCACACAAAATGGGAACAGACACGGTCGGGCAGAAACTTGTGCTTACTCAGGTTTGCGTTTTGATGCCAGACTTCTTAAAGGTGTCAGATGCCTGGTAAGCCTGTAACGAAATTGCAGAAGAGAAAGCATCGTGAATAGCAATCGCACTAGGAGCATTTGAAGTGGAAGCTAGGAAGCAGAAGTAGCGGCAGTGGGGATGGCAGAAAGTAGTAGTAGTAGTAGTAGTAGTAGTAGTAGCAGCAGTGGGGATGGCAGAAAGTAGTAGTAGTAGCAGTAGTAGCAGTAGTAGTAGTAGTAGTAGTAGTAGTAGTTGTTGTTGTTGTTGTAGTGATAGTAGTAGCAGTAGCAGTAGCAGTAGCAGTGGCAGTGGCAGTGGCAGTGGCAGTGG